GGGGTATTAGACATCAATACAGATTGATAAACAAATACAACCATTTTTTTTCATTTGTAAAAAGAAAGTTATGAGCTCAGGCTCTAGAATTGTGTGGGACAGATTTTGCCTCCATTAGCTGTGTGAGCTTAGGTTTCTTTGTGCTTCAATGTCCTCATTTATTTTTAAAAAGGAAATTATCTACTTTATTGAAATGTTGTATTAAATGCATTTGTTGTTTTAAGGATTATTCTTGACACTTCGATCTGCTCAATAAATTTTAATCAATCTTCTCATCTTTCTTTTTTACATTGTTGCTTTTGTTAAGGCAAAAGTTTAGAACTCTCTAAGCATTTTAAAATTTAGTAAAGTCTGTCATTTGATAACTATCTTTTCTTCATATTGAAACTTGGTAAGGGGATAGAACAAGCTCTGTCTAGAGATATAAAACAAAAACTAGAATGTGTTTAGCAAAAATTATCCAATGTTACTACTTCAAGTCATTACCAGAAAAATCTGCCCAAATTAGTAATGAGCTTTAACTCAAAGGTTTTCTTCTTTTTTTCTTTCAAATTATAAAGAGAAAACCATCAAAATTAGCTAAGCAAAGCACTACCTACTAGGATATTTGGGGGAAATTTTTTTTGTGGGGGGAAATTTTTTTAAAGAAAAAGAAAAACATCTTTTGTAATATTTGTATCTGTAGCATACAAGTCGAGGGAAGGGCTTCCAAATCTCTTTAAAAGACTATATCCTCTTAAGGTGTTTAAAAAATTCTTAGACTGTGTTGTAAACACCACTAGTTAGCTCAAAAGAGGTACTTCCCTTTCCAAATTTAAAAAAAAATCGAAGTAGGAATGCCTCTGTTCAAATCCTGTATTCCAATCTTACGGAATACATATCAATTAATTACAACTCCAAACGATTACACACTAGTGAAAAATACAAAGGGAAAGCAAATGAAAGAACATAATTGATCCCCAAATAATGCCAGCAGCAGCTGTGGTCATACTAATAATCATGACATAATATTTGATCCTTAAAAATGCCAATATGGCTTCTTAACTCCATTAGCAACAGAGAAAGAGAAAGAGAGATAGAGAGACATATATATACAAAAGCCCAGAGAGGACAACTGGCTTGCCCAGGTCTATAGAAATGTTCTCTGCATATCTGGGGGCAAAATTTAAGTCTTATCACTTCTAGTCCATTCTGCTGTCCTATACCACTGACAGTGTCTAATGGAAGTCGCATTCCCAAAATTTGCCTGGGGTCATTTGTTTAGAATTCAGAATGCATTTTCTAAGATTGAAAAACATGTTTTGAAAGATCATTGGCTTTCCTCTCATAGATACACATTTCTATACTTAATGCTACAGACCCTATTTTATGTATGTAATATGTTTCTAAAGGGGAAAAACAAGAAAAACACTTAGAACTATTATTTGGATGCACAGGAAACATTTTCCCACCCTGCAGCCTGGCTGCTTCAGACCAGAATTGACCTTCAAACCTGGTTCCCTGAAAATATAATCCAATCTTAACACTAGCTTTCTCGTATCTGGCTCTGAAAGAAAGCAGAGCAGTGTTTTCGAAGCACTATTAGAGGGGCAGGGATAAGTGCAGGAGACAGTGGAGGTCTAAAGGTGGGGCATTGATTGCGGTCTTCTCTGAATGCAGACATTGGAGGGGTATATTTAAAGAGAATTTAGAAAACAATCATTAAATGAACTAAATGGCCTAGGCAATCTACTTTCTACCAGCACTATGATCTGGAAACTCTAAATAACATCAGTAATAAAGGACTACTCCCTAAAAAATATTTTGTTAGTCTATATTTTAAACAATTAATGTGGTTACTATTAAGATTTAGTGTATATTAAATTCACAGATTTTTATTGCTTATCTTATAACAGACACCACATGAGCTCCAGATACACACAAATTCAGCAACAAGTTTTTGTGTCATTAGTAAGTTCATAACAGTTCCAAATACTTTGAGCTCACTAAGGGCACAGTTCATGCATTTAAGCCCTGTGGTATTACATCTTTTTTAAAAAAATGTAAACATTAGATTATAAATTAACAATGATAGCACGGTGATTATAAATATGAAGAAATAGAATCGGAATTAATTTAATTCTGTCATTTTTCATGACTATTAGAAGTTTTTATGTTTAACACAGTGAAACGGAGTACAGCCCAGAAAGTCTGACCATTTCATTTGGTCAGTCCCAATGGTCCAACTTGGTAACTGGCTACATCACGCATTCCATTTGGGCTGCCTTCCTTTCCCTCTTTCTTTTACCCACTCCCTTAACCTCCTTTGCCTCCCTAAGAAACTATTTGCTCTCAAATCCATGTCTCCAAATCTGCTTTTGAGCGAGTCCAAGCTGAAACACACCACAATGATCATACAATGAATCCTACATTGGTGGCTAGTATTCCTGGCAGAAGAGCAGGTATCTCTAGATTTTCTCTTCCTTATTTTGTTCCCTGGATTTCCTCATACCACATCTTAGGGAGAAGATATAGACGGAGCCAGCATGCATGTGGCAGTTGTTTAGTGCAGGTAAGATTGCATTCACATTTATCAATATCTAGAGGAAATCCTAGACATGGTGAGCCTCCCAACACTGTTCAAGTTACAAATAATAGAAGCTGAATCTGAAGATCAAAAATGGTGGACAAAGGGGGTCAAACAGCATCTATTTATGTGTCTTTTCTTCTTCCTTTGCTACCATTAGACCTGACATAACTTGCTGGTACAAGTCTAAGTAGAGCTCTAAAATGAGCATTAGGCCAGGATTCTGGAGTGGGTTCTTTTCAGAACAGAAAAAGATCTCTGATGCAGGAAGGAAAATACAGGGAAAAGGAAACTCGAGGAGCAGCTTAGAAAGAAGGCAAGTGGCTGTGGTCCACTGAGTAGGCGTAAGGTTCAGAGAGAACACTCTTACAAGGGAATTCAAGTAAACGGTGATAGTCACATTTCACCTCCTTAAACTCTTGGATAAGATTCTTATAATAGTTCTCAGCTCTGCCTGCAAAACACTGAAGTTTTATTTATTTTTTCTCCAAAAACTACAGCTTCCCATGACGTGGATATAATAATCGGAATCCCTGGGCATAGCGCCTGGGTACACACATTTTTAAAGCTCTGGGGTAATTTTGACACACAAAGTAGAGATAAGGACCTAGAAGCAGAATAGGAAAAATGTTGCCCTAATTTGACAAGTAATTCCTTCTTTGTTTCTTAATCAGATGTTTCTAATAAGAATTCAGGAAGGAAAAACTCCCTATTTATTTATTTGTTTCTTTGTTTGTTTGAGACAGGGTCTCACTGTCAGCCAAGCTGGAGTGCAGTGGCACGATCATGGCTCATTATAGCCTCAGCCTCCTAGGCTCAAGAGATCCTCTCACCTCAGCCTGCTGAGCAGCTGCAACTACAGGCATATGCCATCATGCCCAGCTAACACTTTTTTTTTTTGTAATTTTTTTGTGGAGATTGGGGTCTCCTTTTGTTGCCCAGGCTGGTCTCAAATTCCTGGTCTCAAGTGATTCTCCTACCCCAGCTGCCAAAGTGTTGAGATTACAGGTGTAAACCACCACACCCTGCCGAAATTCTTGATAAATAAACTCTAGTCTCAAAATTGATGCCTCCTCAACAGGAATGTGCTTCTCAGTCACTATGTGGAATGGGCAAGGATTCTTGAGAAATAAATGGAATGCCAATGATGTTTATACTCTCCCAAATATCTTACATTCAAGATGAAACGTATTTGCATGAATAAACACATGGAAAACCTGCAAGGTATAGATTCTGCCTTAAGGCCAGGTACCTTTCTGTGTTTCTTAGTACCTGAACTCTTACTGCAACTAATGTTTTTTGCAGGAGGAAGGTATGTGCTGAAGGAATTGTTCTCCATCTGCTATTACTCCTTAGAGTCTTGAAGTCAATACTTGAATATTACCAGTGCAGCACAATGGCTGGTCAATGACTCAACATACAGCTGCAATATTAACTCAGGGCATGATTCACAAATGATTCTTCTTCTATTATAGTTGCTGACAGAGTCCTGGCAACGAACCCAGTCTTTTAGAGAAAAGTTGATTTTGGCAATGAATCCAGTCTTTAGAGAAAAGCTGATAGTTGATTGAGAGTGTGTGCGTGTGTGTGTGTGTGGGGTGTGTGTGTGTGTGTACACAGATGGGGGGGCATATATGTATATACACACACATACAGAGCAGCAAAATGGAACCACAATATATGAGCATATTGGGAGAGAATTTTGTCTTGGCTTGTCAGTATTCCAGTATTTTCCTCCCTGCTATGGGAATTAGTGTTGAAGTCAGACAGATCTGGGTTCAAATCATGGTTCTGTAACTTAATTGGTTATGTTCCATGCCTTCTCTGAGCCTCAAACAATTGAAAAGAATAACATTTTTAAGTTACTACAAAGTTGTTGGAAAGAGTAAATAAAAAGAGTAGATTTAGAAATCACATCTGAATGGCTGCACACAATAAACATTTTCTTAAGTTTAATTGTCCAGTCCCATAGATTTAGCCCAAATAACATTATTTTTTCATAAAAATCAAAATAGAGGGGTTTTAACCAAAGGTGCTTAGAGTCATGCAACTACACATTTTTCAACAGTACTATGGGCACAGTTTTAGAAAATGTCACTTAGAGGCAAATGCATGGAAATATATAAACTAGAAATCGTATAAATGCAAAACATATTTTAGGACTATATTTCATTTTATCTCCTAATGTTTAAAAACACACACACCCACACACACACACACACACCCCCCATGGCCTTCAAGCCCTGGAAACCACCTCTTGTCCCTATATAAATGACACTTTGCTTGTCATTTTTATTTTTTAATGGTTAATGATTTCCATGTAATAATTGCCAGTTTTCCTCTACCCCTTTGTCCCCTGCTGCAAAAGATCTAATCTATTCAGAGGAAGATAATTGCAGAGCTGTTGAAACAAAAAGAAATCGCTGCATCTCACCACTGTTGTGCGCCTCCAGCTGCGAGGCGGAGTTGACAGCAACCTTGCATAGCGAACAGTAAAGAAGCCGTTTTGCCTTTTCTTCCTCGGTCTCAGTAGAAGGACATGAGCTATTGCCAGTGGCTGTCGTTGGGCTTTTTTCCACTTTAGAGGTGATCTCAGTTGTCATAACACTGCTTTTGCGGATTTCCACAGTTGTCGTCGTTGATATTGCTGGTGTCCCTGCAGTACCATCTGTATTCGAAAAACACAGAAAAAAGGGGGAAAAACAGTGATATTATCATTCCCTATTCAGGAATGTATCACGAATATTGCATTCTGCTTATAATGATAAGAGCAGCTAGCAATTGCTGTTTGTCAAGGACGCATCAATCACCTCATAAAAAAATTTACACAGATGACCATATTTAATTTCATGTATTAAACTAACACTTTCAGATGATTCTTGAACATCAACATAAATACAAGTTTAAAATATTCTATGGGGTAAACATCCACAAATTTCTCTTGTTAACACATAGCCTTAGTACAACAATATTTATAATATATTGCAGTCTCTCAATGCATATTTCTAAATGGCTTTTTCTAGATTTTTAAACTATTAAAATAGAAGATAAATGCTTTTAAGATACTTTGAATTTCTTTACTACTTGTCTATTTTGCTTCTTTCTTTCATTCTTTCTTTTTTAATTAAAAAACAGGTACAGATCCTTTTGCAATATTTATCCAAAAAGAAAAAGAAAAAGAGAAATTGGAGGCCTGATGCCAGAATTGCTTTGACCAGATCAACAGTTCAGAAAATCATTGCTCTACTTACAAAGAGTTACAATTCAACCCAAGGTACAAAAATCATCAACATCAAAAGAAGAAGAATTCTAGTCTGGCGTATCTATTAAATACATGCCCTGTACCAAGCTGTACGCAGGGAGTTTGTGGCAAAAATATTCAGACATCAGTAGCCACTATTCACAAGGAATTCACAGGATGGCCACACCATGCTGTTGTCACATTGTTCTAAGAGTTAAATGATCACGAAAATGTTGAGGCACTGTCACTCTACAACCCTTCTGGCTCTAAAGTCTGATGCTAAATCTGGAGAGATCAATCTCCAAAGTAAAACTACCCTGTCTTAACTTTATTCGGGTATGCACAGCTCCCCTTCCAAATATGCCAGTCACTGTTATGTTAGCAATGTTTGCCATACCCAATAACAAATTGCAAATAAGCTCTACACTCATATCCTATCTACCCATATACTACTTTTTTGCCTCTCAGCTGGTTCTTAACTTCCTCTCCAAAATACTCCTAGGCTGCCTCTCCAGCTACATCTGCTATTGAAACTGTCTCTCATTCCATATACTGCTATGGTCACTATCTAATGCTACGTTGAAAAGTTCATGATAAAGAGACTTGGCAAGGATATAAGGACCAATGGTCTGTCTGCAATTAAGTGTTGTCTGCATAAACGCTTACTTCTTGTTAGTTCATTACTATCAAGAGTTGACTGCAGCTACAGAATGACTGTTAACTGGGATATCCCCTTTCTTCCAGGCATCGGGGTGAAAATATAGGTGAGGTTTTTTATTGCTTTTCTAAATAGGGCATCAGAAACACTAGTCAATAAAAAGAGAAATGAATCCTTGTTTAAGGGCTGTTGTATAAAAAAATTCATCTGGATCTTATTTTCTTTGCCTGACACTTCACACACTTTCAATCACTTATTTACCTGCTAAGATCATCAAGTAAGTCTCTTTCAGTGTCATAAAGAACATTCACCAACCAAGTTTTCAAAATCATGCTGCAAATATGTGTCTCATGGCTAGAGAAAAATAAATAAAATTACCCTAACACTAAGTTATGTCATTAGAATACATTTATTCCCTTGCACACTGAAACGTCCACTCCCTGATTAGTTTTTATTTGCCTGTTAAGGTTCCATTATTAAAATAAGAAGTGACAGGCAAAAAATATCTCTGAGAACCTAGAGATGGAATAAAACATAACAACTTTAAGATGGTGCCATAGCTGTTTATTGCCCCCTATATGCCAGAAATGATTGTTTGAAAGCATGAGTATATGTAACTGTGAATAAACAACAAGTAGTTAATTTGCTAGGTGTTTTATATACTTAAAATAATTGTATATATTTATAAAACAATTCCATTTTTTATATTGTATAAATTGTATGTATTTATAAAATAATTCCACAGTACAGAGCTGAGAAAATGAGAAAACTCCAGAAGTTAAGAAAATGTCCCAAGGACACACAAGTAGTATATTGTGAGCCAGAGCCAAGTGTTTCATGGAACAAGAAAATTAGATTTTGAGGCAAAAAAAAAAAAAAAAGAGAAAAGAAAGAAAGTTAGGAATGATACTCTTGGCCATGACTGTGATTCTCCACAGTAAGGTCACAAGGAGCAGTGGGCTAAAACCACTAAATTGTTCTTAGGATCAGCTCTATCAGGAGTGATAACCGTAAATACAGATATTATATTTAAACTTAGTTTGGCCACACACTGAAGCTAGTGTGATACTGTGGGTATTTACTTCATTGAAATCTACTAGGGTAAAGATTTCCCTAGTACTACCCTGCTCTAACAACTTTTCCTCTGGATTGACTTGTTTATTTGGTCTTAATCTGAAAATGGCACATAGCATAGATCACAGTAATCCTAAACTAACTTTCCTATTTATAGTGCAAGTTATTGACAAAAGCATAGAATAAACAAAACCATGAATCTTTCAATTCCTATGACATCTACGTTAGTGTTTCTCTGACCACAGAGAATAATGTACATTTATACCAAAGACAACAGAAGATTAGAGACATCAGATTCTCTATGCCTAGGGCTTAGTGAAGTATTAACATTTCTTAAGGCAAGTTCCTTGCATGAGACAGGCTTAGGGGAATTAATATCAACACTCAACTTCTGGTGCATCTACTTTGTGGAATACTTTTGACCACATAGCTAACCATAAATCTGTTATTTTCTAAGCATGTAGTTAGTGTGAAAGAAATATAACATTATATTTTTATCTTAAATGTAATATGTAGAACTTGACTCCATAAAGATAGGAATACTATTAATTTATAAGGAGTCATGGATTTTTCACTTACCTTTGTTTTAGCAGTGATAAAGGGGTATTTTTTAAACCAAGAAAGTAAGGTAAATATATTTTAGCATTATGGCTTATTCAAAGAAAGTCAACTGTTCTATATAATGCATACAAAATTACATATAGCAAAGAAGTTTACTTTAATATGGTACATTAAATGACCAGTTATAAATAATTATTATCCACACGTTAAAATAGAATCTTAAATGAATGATAATGTTAACAGCATATACCCTTGACATTATGTGATGAAAATTACCTCTGTGGTCTTCCTGCTCATAACCCCTGTCTAACCATGAGAAAAACAGAAAACAGAGCTAAACTTAAGGACATTTATCAAATTCCTGACCAGTACTCCTCAAAATTAGCAAGACTATCAAAACGAGGAAAGTGTGCGCAACTATCACAGTCTAGGGGAACCTAAGGAAATATGAGAACTCAGTGTAATGTGGGATCCTGAATGAGATTCTAGGGCAAAAGAACATTAGGTAAAAACTTGGAAAATCAAATAAAGAATGGGCTTTAGTTAACACTAATGTATAAATATTGATTCATTAGTTGTGACAAATGTACCATATTAATGTGAGATGTTAACAATAAGAGAAGCTAGATGCAGGGTATATGGGAACTTTCTGATATATTCTCGTATCTTCTCTGCAAATCTAAAACTATTCTAAAATTAAAGTTTATTACTTTAAGAAAAACAGAATTATAACCAGTCAACAAATGGTGCATCATTAAAGTTATTTTGTAGAATCATAGTCAGAAAGAACCTTCATGGCTTTAGAGCACAGTTTTCTTAATTTTTAGATAGAGAAGTTTCAGAAAATTTCTCAAGGTCACATAGTGCTCTGAGATAATAACTAAGACTTGACATTGTATCTCCCAATGCGAAATCTAGTGCTTATTATCTTAACTGCAGTTACTCATGCACTCAACTTTATTCCATCAACCTTTATTAAGCAACTATTTTGTGGTAAGTTCTATCCCAAGCCATTGGGATAAGAAGGCCAATAAATATAGCTCATGTACTTAGTGACAAAATAGTTTATGAGATATCCCATAAAGACTTAAAATAATAACTATTATTATAAACTTAATAATTCTTAATCTGCTTTGTTCATTGCTATATTCTTGCACTTATCCTTGGCATGAAATGGGCACTCAATAAATATTGAGAGAAAACAATGAATAAATTACCAATAATAGCTAATCATCGTGGAAGCACTTTTAAAATATTTACAAGTATTAACTCATTCAATCCTCATAGAAAAACAAGAGGTGCACAACATTTTTATTATCATCATAGCAACAAAATTGGGGTATCTCCATACCATACCAAGTTTCAAACTGTGTTTGAAAACTTGAACACAGTTTAAATTTTCAAATCAAAAAAAATGATTTGAACACAGTCTGGCTCAGTTGCATGTGCTCTTCGTTTATTTTTTATTGCTTAAAATTTAATAGTTTATAAAATAATTTGAATTAGTCTTGATTTATTATGCATGCTGAAAGATAACATATTAAACATTCGACTATAAAAGAAACTAAGCATGGCTCAAGCTAGAGTTAATTATGTATATCCAAACATCCATTATGCTAAGGTATTAAGTTGCTCAAAACCATTTAGAAGGAGGAAAGAAAAGGAAAACCTATAGCTCTCAACCAACCTCTTGTGCAGAATGGTAAGAATAAACCACAGGACTTAACTGCACCTTTTTTTTCCCCCTCAAAAGACGAGAAAGTAGGAAAATGATTCGCTTTTCTTACTGTTTCCCAGAGGCTGATTCAGATTTCTTTGCACCAAAGACTCTGGAACAATATATGTGACAAGGAGTTAAAAATAATGGGTGAAATTCAGTGAGAAGAGAAAGATTTGAGATGGTTGGGGCTTGCATTTCTGTGCCATTTTTCTGCCAGTGCCCTGTAGCAAATATTCATCATTACAACTGTCGCTATTTGGCTTTGGCATCAAAACAGATTGCTAATACGTTGTGGAATGAGGCTTCAGTTGAGAATCAAAGGAAACGTCAGTATTCAAAGTGGCCCATTTGTGACCTTCATCTTGTATAAAAACACTGTAAGTACTTCTTTAAAAAAAAAAATCCATAAAGCAT